AAAAAAAAAAAGAGAGAAATGAACTGTATGGGACACCCATGTTTTAGGGGTTAGGTAGTGAGAAAAAAGGGAAAAAACCATTAAATGGATTGAGAGGAACTAGAGTAAGAAGATAAGTTCAAAAAAGTTGAATTGTGAAAGGGGGAGATAATAGTAGTTAAATGTGTCAGAGGATACAGGTGTGCACACAAGAGTCTTTCATTTAAGTGGGACAGGCTCAAAATGTTTATGTGCTGGTACCAAAGAATCTGTAAAGAAGGAGAGGTAGAAAACTTTGGAAGGAACAAGTAACTGATGACACAACAGAGGGGGGAGCCTAGGCTTACTTTACTTAGCTTTAAGTTCCCAGAGAGTAGGGCAACTGCTCAGTTCCTACACTTGCTGGTAGGGCTATACCTACATTTACAACTCTTACTGGAGCACCTACACCCAAATCAATTCCCTGTCCAGTCATGGACAGTTGCCCTCCCCACCTCATTTCCCCATGATGGTCATGCTCTGTTCTAACCACATCCTCTGAATGACCCAGTACGGTGGAGGACAGACCTAACGAGTCTGGATTCTGAATTTAGATTCTCCTAATAGTGACTGTCATCCATGATACCAAAGAGATATTTAGAAAACAAACAAAACAAAAAACAAATTTATTCTCAATCAGAAGATCAGGATTGTAACTATTCTAAAGTAGAAATATATTCAATAATCCTTTCAAGTGAGAATTTCTTGAATGATGTGGCAAAGTTGGAAACATCTTTCAGTGTAATTTTCATTTTCTTCCTCAGAGCACAGAAGAACTCAGTAGCTGTCCCTCCCACCTGGTAGTGATACTGAACCATACTTTCCAAACCGTTTCTCAGAACCTCAGTGTTCTGTGGGATGGCTGATGAGTTTTTATTTCCCTATCTGAGAAGCCTTATTTATTTATTTTTTTTAAATATGATCTTCTAACTGGCTTTATTAAGAGAGTTGCTTCACTTTTATCTACTATATATTGGTGCTCCATGAACATTTACACTTGCAGAGTTGTCATTCTGATTACAAAAAAAAAAAAAAAAAAAAAAAAAAAAGCAAACAAACAAACAAATGAACGAAAGAACAAACAAAAAAACAGAGGGGAGCCTGGATGGCTCATTCAGTTAAGCTTCCAACTTCCACTCAGGTCATGATTTCACTGTTCCTGAGTTCGAGCCCCGAGTCTGGCTCTCTGCTATCAGTGTGGAGCCCGCTTCAAATCTTCAGTCTCCCTCTCTTAGCCCTCCTCTGCTTGTACTCCCTCTCTTTCAAAAATAAATCAACTTAAAAAAAGGGATTTTGAAAAGTACTACCTAAATAAGAAATACATACATTTATAAATATTTACCTTATGATATAGTAAATAAAATACATTTGAAAATTTGAAATGGGTGATACATTTTACCTCAGAACTATAGTCTTATATTAGAATAAATGTTAGAACATAAGTATCATAAACAATTTTTTTCTTTAAAAAAAAAATCTATCCTACAGCCTAGTTCACAAAGAGGGACTTTGCTCAAAAGGGAATCAGGCAGGATGAAGGGGAAGGTGGAAACTAAAGCAATCTGAATAACTAGCATTGATTAAGCCTCTATTCTGAGCCAGACACAGTACAAGGCTCTGTGTAGACCAAGGGTAACCCACACATATCTGGTCATTGCACTCTGGAGCCTGCTATCTAATTTGGGAGATGAAATTAAACAGTGAAATCCCAACTCTACACAGAATAACACAGTCAAATGAATTCTGTGAAGGAAAAGAGTGAGAAAACAGGAGCAAATTTTTAAGGATGACTCCAAGAAATTGGCATTTAAGCTTAAAGAACGTAATAGAGTTGCTAATGATCCCTACAATGGCAATATGAAAATGTATCAAATTAAATATTGTACACCTTAAATTTACACAATGTTATATGTCAAATATACTTCAGTGAAAAAAGAAGTTTAAGGAGACAGAGTGAAAGGGAGGAAAAGTGTTGTTAAAAATAAATAAATAAATAAATAAATAAAGCCATCCCTAAATCTGACCAAACCAATTTACAATAAATACAGAAGATAGAAGAATAGGCTAAATGGAATAACAAATGAAATTAGCAAAATCCAGATAGGAGTCTACAGGAAATTCACATAATTCTTTAAACAATAGCAAGAAAAACAACAAAAACTTGTAAGAAGAATTAAAGATAAGAGAATTTACAGATTGGTATGTCATTCAAAATAACCTAGGCGAGAGGGACTAGGTGGTGGTTTAGATAAAATCAAATCGGCTGGAAGTCAACAGTTGTTGAAACTGGATGATGGAAACATGAGGTTTCGTGGTAATGTCTGCTTTTGCACATGTTGGGACTTTCCCATGGTATAAAATTTTCAAAAAACAGGAGGGAAATCTAAGAAATAAATATATTGTAATAAATGCTAAATATGGTAATAAAATTGTCTTTCCCCTGGAAGTCCTGCCCTAGCCTAAGACACTGGTATCAGTTCAGGCTACTAAGTGCAATACCCTTCTAAACCAGCCAGAAAAAGCCTATCAGATGGGGGTCACACCCGTGTGGGTAGATGAGTACTTTCTTGGCTAAATTTCCAAGGGCTGATTCACTCTCCATCCTGGAAGGGAGGAGCCAGGATTCCAACCATTATCTGCCTAATCCAAATGCATTTGGTCACACCCTCCTCTAATGAAGGCTTCTAGACTTTAGGTGCAAATGAATTACCCTAAGGGCTTGTTGAATTCTGAGTCCTGCCCTCAAGGATCCAGTTCTGGAAGGCGTCAGTAAACTGAAGCTGAGACCTTGCAGACCACACTTTAAATGTATAAATTGATCTGGGCTTAGTGGGTCCTAAGACTGATGGACCGGACCATTTTACTAAGGAAGGAGAAAGCCCAAAGAGAGACCAATGGATGCCAGTACTGCCATACTGTTTGTGAATATTTTCCTTTAATAGCTCTGGCTTCTTAGAGTGACCTATGAAAACATCTGTGACTTTTCCAGCCTCATCTCTTATCCCATCCTGCCTTGTCACATCCTGCCTCCAGCACTATGCTCCAGCAATTTCCAAGTGCTTGCAGTTTTTTCTGCATTCATTTGTCCATCATTTGCCTTAGTGTTTTCTGTTTGTTTGTTTTGTTTTTATTTTTTGAGAGAAAGCGTGAACAGGGGAGGGGCAGAGAAAGAAGGGGATAGAGGATCCAAAGTGGGCTCCCCGCTGACAGCAGTGAGCCCCCTGTGGGACTCAAACTCATGAACAGTGAGATCACGACCTGAGCTGAAGTTGGTCACTTAACCGATAGAGCCACCCAGACGCCCCTTGCTGCTTGTGTTGTAAACAGCCAAATCCTTCCCTGTACCCAGCTCACCAGTAATGCAGATTTAATATTTGTGTTTAGAACTTGATCCGGGAGAGATTGTTATCCACCCCCTACAATTTAAATCTAATCTCCCAGTGAACGACACACCCATGGGCATAAATCAGTTATAAAATACCTCTGATTCTATTTTTTTACTCCCTCCATAATAACATCATTCAAACCAACATCAATATTGTCCTAGAAATGTTTTAAAAATATATTTTTTGATTCAGTTGCAACTTGTTAGCAAGAATTTGTCACGTCTAGTTTCTCCCACATCTCACCTTAAAATAATAACAAAGATTTTATTCTATTTTTTTTTTTTTTTTAAATAAACTCTACGTCCAACATCTGGCTTGAACTCATGATCTGAGAATAAAGTCACAGGCTCTACCTATGGAGCCAAGCGGCTGCCCCTAAAAATCTTATTTTAAAAAAAAAAAAAATCTTAGGAGTGATATTCATTACCCAACAGCTCAACTGTCACATAATGGACCAAAGGGGAGTGCAAAACTGATGAAATTATTACACTGTCAGATAATGAGGGAGGGGAAGAAGAGGAGGAAGGAAAACCCCCCCTCTTCTGGGAAACAGGAAGTAGACAGAGACATTTGCTTATAAAAGGAGAAATCAGGCTGGAAGCCCCCAGGTGAAAAGGAGTGAAGGGCCGGTGAACCAACCTTGCAGGCTTCACCTTCCCCTAAGTATTCCTGGAAATGGCGTACTCGAGTTATGAAAACAGCGCTCAGGTAGGTTTCGTTCCCATAGAATGGATTTTCCTACAGATTCATTTTTCAAAGTCTTTCTAGAGCTTGCTTATGTTTACTTCATGCCATGGGACTTCGTTTCTGAGGGTAAGAAATCTCCATCTTGGAGTCCCTCCTCTTTGTAAGTGGATTATTACTTTTCTTACCCACGATTGTGGCTCTGTGTCTATTTGGGTCAGAGTGAGAAACACAAAATAAAGATTTCCGTTCCCAGGCCAACGTAAGGGATGTATTCTGTAGAAAGACATGTTGCAGCTGGGCAAATGGAAAACCTAAAGAAACAATAAAAAGAATAAAAAGAAAGTGAGAAAGGGTATTGTGGATGGGGTGAGAAAGTGAAGTGACCAATTTGGTTTCTTCCCTTGGGGAGTTTCTCCTACTCCCAAATATTAAGTATACGGATGACCGGCAAGTCATATCGCTGCTTTCAGCCTCTCAGACTCCACTCTCTGGAGTGGAGTAATATTCCCCTAATAACTTTTTTTTTGAAGCTGACCAGTGAATGTGCATGGGAGTGCCTTGAAAAAGTGTTACACAGGGGTGTCTGTCTGGTCAGCTGGTAGAGCGAGAGATCTTTGATCTTGGGGTTCTAAGTTTGAGCCCCACCTTAGGTGTAGATATTACTTAAAAATAAAATCTTGGGGAGTCACTGAGGTGGCTTAGTGGGTTAAGCATCTGACTCTGGCTCAGGTCATGATCTCGCAGTTCCTGGGCTCTGTGCTGACAGTTCAGAGTCTGGAGCCTGCTTTGGATTCTGTGTCTCCCTTTCTTTCTGCTCCTCCCCGGTGCGTGTGCTGTCTCTCTCAAAGATAAATAAACATTAAAACAAAAGCTTAACGGTGTTATACATATGCAGGATGAGAGTATGAGCAATGGGAAGCCATTGAATCGGAAATAGGGGGAAGGGCATGGCCCCCTCAGATCTACTTGGCTGTTCTGAGAAGCAAGTATTGCAATGGGACTGGGATGGAGTTTATTCACCTTTGGATCTGAGAGGAAAAGCTCAGTTCAGAAACTTAAGCACATGTTACTCTGACATTGTTCATTTAATTTTTGAGACTCAGTTGCCTAATTTGTAAAGTGAGAATACTGATAAATTATTATACACGTGCTGTGAAGATTAAGTGAGAGAAATACAGAAAGCACGTAGTGCGGTGCACATGTACTGGACAAAACCGGTAAATGTCACTTCCTTCCTAACTGGGCGTTGGATGTGTGGCTGCGATTGCAGCAGAGAGTAAACTCTCTGGTCGGGTTGAAATAAAGCCAGTATGCCTGGAACTTAGAAAGCTCAGGGGTCTTGAGCTAGAGTGTTAGGCAGGGGTCAGACTACAGAAATTTGTAGGTCATGCGTGGCCGTTTTTGATAAGCCATTGAAGTGTTTGGCACTACTCTTGATTTCGGCTCGGGTCATCATCTCACGGTCTGTCCCCGCTTCTGGCTCCATGCTAAATGGATAACCCACTTAAAAGTCTCTCTCTTCTTCTGCCCCTCCCCTGCTCTCTCTCTCTCTCTCTCTCTCTCTCTCTCTCTCTCTCTCCTAAAAAAAGAAAAAAGAAAAAAAAAGGCAGGAGAGCAATCTGCAGAAAGAATGCCGCTTGGAGTAATAGGGAATTATTGCATCTATCAGTGAGAGTTGATGATAGCTGGAATTGGGAATCATCAGGAATCATGATAGAAGATGGGAAAGCAGGAACACATTCCATATAGTTTTAGCAGATAAAATAAAAGTGTTTTAGTGGAGGGAGAGGAAGGCCTTGAGGGAGATGGTTTCCCTAAGCTCAAGACATATCCTTTCATCTACACCCATCTGTACATCTACTTTTGTCCATTTTCTCATTGTTTGTCTGGCATTTATTTATGTATGTATGTATGTATTTATTTATTTATTATTTTAAGTAATCTCTACACCCCATGTAGGACTTGAACTCACAACTCCAAGATCAAGAGCCACATGCACCATGGACTGAGCTAGCCAGGCACCCCTGTTTCTCTTATCTAATAAAGGGTCTGCTAATCAACATCAAATTCAGGGAATCACCATAAGTTTGCTCTCTAGCCACCTACTGGCTTCTGAGTTTCTTATCAATTGTGCTCTGAAAATAAGCAGTTTAGGCATATGGCATCCAATGAGACTCTGTGGTTGACCTTTCCCTTTCCAGAATTTCTCCGAGGAGGCATTAGAGGAAGAAACTGTGGTTCTCACATTGGTTCCAGTTAATGAAGAAACTAATGAAGAACATCAGGTGGAACCAAGTGTTTCCTCAACTTCAGAAGTTGGCCTGGAGATGCCTGGGACAAACGATAAAGGTATGAGGACAGTGATTGCTCAGTTTGCTGCTCCCCCAGCTCTGGGAAGCCCAGGGAAAAGATTTCTCCTTTTTTCCCTTAAATCTCACCTTGAGTATCTGTGGTAAGAGAGCTCTCAAACTCCTAGACTTCATTTATTAGGCACCATGACTTGCTCTTAAGACACAAAAATGGGTGTGTGAAGTGCCTTGGACAGAGCATGGTCTTCTAGTCAGCAGACTATGAATTCAAATTCCCAACCTATAGAGCTCAATCTTCTTTCATTTTGGTTAATGCATACTTTACATACCTCTCGTAAAGACTAAATTGTTTTTTTCCAGCGTCGAGATATAATCAACATCTAACCTTGTATAATCTTAAGGTGTACAATGTGGTGATTGATACACATTTGTATTGCAAAATGATTACCAAAATAAGGTTAACGAGCACGTCTATCACCTCACACAGTTACCTCCCCCCACCCCCACCTTGTGGTGAAAACATTTAAAGATACTCTCAGCAATTTTATTTTATTTAAGTTTTATCTTGAGAGGGAGAGAGAGAATCCCAAGCAGGCTCCGTGCTGTCAGTTTTGGGCTCTATCTCATGAACCATGAGATGACCCATGCCAAAACGAAGGTTAGGCGCTGAACTGACCGTGTCACCCAGGCACCTCTACTCTCAGCAACTTTAAAATATACAGTGTATGGGACAGTTGGGTGGCTCAGGTTATGATCTCAAGGTTCGTGGGTCGAGCCCTGCATTGGGCTCTGTGCTGACAGCTCAGAGCCTGGAGCCTGCTTCAGATTCTTTGTTTCCCTCGCTCTCTGCCCCTGCCCTGCTCAGACTCTGTCTCTCTCTCAAAAATAAATATTAAAAACATTTTTTTAAAACATACAGAATAATATTGTTAACAATAGTCACTATGCTGGGCCCCTGGGTGGCTCAGTTGGTTGAGCATCTGACTCTTGATTTTTGTCTCAGGTCATAATCCCAGGGTTGTGGGATTGGGCCCCATGCAGGACTGTGCACTGAGGGTGGAGCCTGCTGGAGAGTCTCTCTTTTTCTGTTTGTCTCTCTGCCCCTTGCCTCCTCCCCTTCTTGGGCTCTCTGTCTAAAAACAAAATAAATCTAAAAAAAAAAAAGAATTAAAAAAACAATAGTCACTATGCTGTACATCAGATCCCCAGAACTTCTGAACATCTTATAACTGAACATTTGTATCCTTTGATCAACATTTCCTCCAATTATTAGTATTTTGCTTGATAAGTACTTAGTGACCAAATACCTAGCAGCTCTTAATGTCATGACCCTTTAAATCTGTTCTTAGTGTTTCACGTAAAAGCATCAAATAAGTATTTTCAGAATGATTTTATTTTCTGGACCAAGAATAAGGACTTCAATGCAAAGTAAACAGTGGCAGGTTACACCTAAGCAGAGTGAGGTGAGATGGGATGCTGACCAGGAAAATG